AACAACACATTTTTTGTAATAACTGTTCGTAGAGTGTCATCTCTCTAATCTTGATTTCTCAACTGGATTCTATATACATTTTATATTCAACTGTTAACTGGTTGGTTGATTTCTTTTTCTTCCGTTTTTTTCGGTTCGTCGATAATAAAATTGATTGACGCTTGGGCAATAGCTTCTTCTAGTGCAAATAAAAGAAGAGAAATAATCCAACGACATTAGAAGGAACGAAAGATTTTTTTTCTTCTTCTTCTTTCTCGCTCTCTCGTTGACGAAAAAGGGTATGTTCTATTATTGTTGTTTGTTGTTGTTCGTAATAATTATATGATTGTAATGCTGACTTATCAAACAACGTAGTAATAGGTACAAATACTGTAGAGAGATTGAGAGAAGAAAAACGAAAAAAAGATAGAAGAAAAGAAATATTTATGGTTTAAAAAAAGAAGTTACTATGAAAAGAAAAGAAGAACATTTTTTCTATTCGTCTTATTGTTATTATTTGTTTAGTTTTAAGTTCTTTATGTGCCAAGCTGACAGATGATGATTATGATTACGATGATGTATTCTATTGGCATTAATCAATTTTTTTAATATTATTGATTCAACACCGGTTGTCTAATTTTAAAATAGGAAAATTTTTTTGTATTTCATTAACAATAATTTCTAGTAAGTAAAACAAAAAAAAAAAAGAGTGAACATACCTTTACTCAACAATTATTATTGTTCTATGTATATACCTACATCATCATACAATATGAACTATATTGTTATATATACTTTTTATTTGCATTTGTTTCGACTGTCAGATCAAATGTGTCTACTACTTCGTAAAAAAAGAGGTATACAATAATACTGCTATTGAGTTTAAACTTCTAGTAAAATATATTCATGAGAATATTCAGGTAGAAAAAAATATCCATGTTTTCTTCATATATCACTTCTATGATTTTGCCTTAGTCTAGTGTTTCGTATTTCCTTTATCGTAAACGAAGGCATTTTTTTCTTAGAATAGCTTAGCTGCTACACAAGTGTATTCATTAGATTAAATTTATAGGTAAGAAAGAATTTAGTAAGATAAAAGTTGCCTCTTGCTTGCAAAAAACAATGATGATTAGTAAATTAGTTAGAGAAACTACGTATAGGATCTAAGAGAAACTCTATTCAAAATTCAAGTTTGATATAAAAAATGGATAACGCGTCCATTGAATGAAATCTTCAAATCGGCCATATTAATTGATGAAAAATTTTTTTTTAAAACTTAATGTCGAGTTTTGAGATTAAAACTATTGATTTCGAATAGCGACATGCTCAGAATTTCAGTAAGGAATGGGCCAAACCTCTTTGACCAAGGAAAAAAGTAAAAAACGTTCTTGTGTAGTATTTTTATTTTTGATTTCAATCAAAATATTTTTTTCTACTGTGGAATGAAAACGAAATTTCTGAGCGGTAGGTCATGGTCCACTCCTGGTCTAGTGCTTGGTACGTCGCTGGTTTCGAAGACTTAGACATTTTAAATTTTTTATACGTTATATAGCTACGCGTGAGATTAATTCAGACAATAGACGCATTTAGTCGTTCGATCGCGTCTATTTCTACCTACAAACATGACCTGTTTATGTAGATCATAGTCAAGAAAGTTACAGATTATTAGTAAATATTTACTATCGTCTGATAAATTTCTAATAGATATAGTTTTTTTAAAGAATTTCTTTCGAATTCTACATATGAGCGATTCGTGTGATGAGAATTTTCATTTTTAAGACATTACATATCAAATAAATACCGTCTAAACTCAATATTGTGGTAGTGTTGGTTAGTTGACTGTATGATCGATCTCTTGTTCGAACTCTTCTGATTTCAAAATATTTTTTCCACACACAATTGATTTTTTGATAACTTTCTTTGAGAAAATTTAAACTTGGTCTAATGTATAGTCAGTTCAATCGTGATCTTGAGATATTCTAAGTAGTGAATGTCTGTGATCTTTGAATGTTTATTTTTGTGAATTATGTATGTAGATTCATGGGTATTCTCGTTTTTTTTCTTCTTCTCTATTCATTAACAACACAAAAGTTCTACTTGTCAATTGATTGTTTTTTGAACAAGCCAATAATTGTGTTTTAAGTAGTTTGAGACTGGCGTGGTTTACTGTCATTGTAATTGACTTATACTCACAGAGCATTATGATAACTAACCTAGCGATTGCTTGTAGAGAAAAGTCAATCATAGTCAGTGCGAAGTTTTATTTGAGTGTGTCTGTGTGTGTGTGTGTGTGTGTACGTAATAATAAACTCACAATCTATGTTAAAAATATTCTAGTGGATTTATCACACGTTGATTTGTGTATGTGTGTCAGATTTTACCAATAGTTCTATAGCAGCTTTCTTATTAACAATAAATAATAAGTTTATATCTATCTGGGAAACAAACAAAATATATTTTACAGCATTTATTCACACGTCTATATCGATCGATACACATCGAAACTCAACGGTGTAATCAAAATCGTCGAATGCAACTATGCGTGGTTCTTTTTCATGCATCATTATTGTATATAAAATGCATAAAATGAATTTTTCTTCTTTTTTCTTAACATGACGCGTAAAAAAGTGTTATCTTTCGACCATTACAAATCGAACAAAGAAAGAAAGAGCGAAAAAAGATTGTAGGCACTAAACAATAACAATAGTGATACGCATAAGTTATTGACCAATGTAGCGAAACAACAGCACAGGATTTTATTAATAGACATAAGTCTGCTACTATTTTTTCCAAATGTAATATCTACCTTTAAACCGAATAGATAGAAAGGAAAAATCTTTAGAATTAATGACATGAAAATAATCATGACATTCTTCCGATCATGTAGAAAGGTGAACGTTTTAAAAATCTTCAACTAAAAAAGCAATTTGTCCACCTATTTGTACTATTTTTTTTTTTACACCTTACCTGCTTGATTTATTCTTGGGATAAGAAATAACGTATGCAGATTCTTATCAGTTGTTATTACAACAAAGATAGTCGGGTAATGAAAAAACTTTGTAATGCTATAGAATGAGATTATGGTTAACGCGCTCAATTCACTAAATATTCTTTTATTGGCATTTAAAAGACATGAACAGACGTTATTGTATTTAACCTCAACATCAATAGTATGAATATACCATTTCTCGTTTTGATGTGTTAATAGAACTCGCTTCTTTTCTCTCTGTAGAATGATAGTGACTGAATGTTTGAAGTAAGGTTAAATATCAAGATATTATTTTGCATATATTGAGTATCTAGACGATGTTCCGCTACAAAATTCTTGTTGCTGTTGTTGTTGTTGTAAGTATTCAGACACGTGTCGTTTTCTCTATGTTTTTATTCTATTTCTTCCTATTAATATGTTAATGTATTTTCAATATACACACGGGAGAAAAACTGATCAATCGTGCGCGCTGATCATGAAAAAAAAGAAAAATTGACATACGATCTGATTTTTATTTTCGTGTAGAAGAAGAAGATTGTTATTAGCCATTGATGTCTAATAATATTTGACATATACGTACGCATATTTGTAGTCTTAATGAGTCAGTCTATTAATATTAAGAACTTTTAATCATTTTTACACATGGTTTCAAAAGAAATAGTGCTCATCGGCTTACTTAAGAAAAGTAAAACTAGAACAGTAATTATTTTTCTCTATAATAGTATTAAAGTGAGATGAATGTTATTTTTTAATTTTATATTGTTGAGGAAGACTTTTCCCATTACCTACATAGCATGAACTATAATTCTAAAATGAAGTTTTGTTTTTAGTATCAAACTGTTTTTTTCTATTTGTCCGCTTCTTTTATGTTTGTAATAAGAGTATTGAAGAAGAAAAAAAAAGAGCAAAAAGAAATCAATTTTCATCATCACTTGGTTCTTTTTCTTGTAATCCTCTTTCTTTATTTTCTTCTCTAAAGTATAATTCTTTCTTTGCATAGAGCTTAGATATGAGGGATGAAGTTTGTTTAAGGCGTGCTTTACTGACTTTAAACGCATTTTCTTGAATGACTTCAGGCTTAGAAGAATATAAGCAAGATTAGCTTTCTAAGTTAAATGCGCTTAATTTAAATTAATAAAAAAAAATTTTCTAAGCGATATTACAACTAGAAAAAAAAAGATACTATGGTTACTGCTGATGGTGGTAGTGATGTTGATGATGGTATATACCATGTACACAAAAAAGAAGATTCCAGTGCGCTCGCGCGCGGCATTGATTAAACAATCGACTATAATTGCTCGATAAGAAAAATCATAGCACGTTTCACATATCAATGATAGGAGGCGAATAATATTTACAAAGCACACTTTGATTGATTGATGATGATGATGACTTTTGAAAAGAAGAAAAAATTTTTTTTATTTTATTCTCTTTTGGATAAAGAGGAAACAAGCATGTATGATGATGACAACTATACACATAGATAAAATAAGAGAGCATTTTTTTTTTTTTTTGTGGCAATAAAGAAGTAACACGTTTGTGGGAGGAATTTGCCTGAATTGTACAATTTTTATGTAATCAGGCAAACAAATACGTACATAACAGTAAAATAAGATGTGATGCCGACAAAAACACAAATAGGCAAAAAAAAATGTTAAATACACATTTTCATTGGCTAACTAGTTCCAGTACTTTATCAAAGTTAATGCCTTGAAAATAGTAAAATAGAGGCATTATAATTAAAACGAATCGAATAAAAAGATTTTTTATTGAAGCTTTAGAAATTGCGAGAATAGTTCTTTCTAAGATGTTATATTCTGATAATTTTTCCTCTTTTCTCTTCTAATGTTATTCGATCAGGAGTATTGCTTACAACTATTGTCATAGTTGGTTATTCTTTGTGAGTAAACAGTAAATGACATAACTTTTTGAAACTGCTTTCATTTTGTTCAAGAAAAAGCAAAAAAATGAAAATCTCTTTTGTGTATTATTTTCAACAAAAAAAACCACACACGTTTCATTTGTATTTTAGATGACATTAACAAACTGTGCTGGCTGTGGGGAGCCGATATTAGATCAATATTTATTTCAAGTACTAGATCGTGTTTGGCATTCACATTGTATCAAATGTATAGATTGTTATGCACATTTAATAGAAAAATGTTTTTCAAGAGATGGAAAATTATTTTGTCGAACAGATTTTTTCAGGTATGCTATATAGTAAAATATTTTATTATTCTGATTTGAATATTAATATTACGTTTATAAGAAAACCATATGCTACTTTCTATTATATTGGAATCAAACATAATATGATAATTTCGTTAGTTCTTGCATAATGAATGAGAACAATTATGATATGAGAAGGAAATTGTCATTTTATTTTATCAGACAATAGGATGATATTCATCTAGAAAAGGAAACTGTTTATTTAATTGTCATTGAAAGAAAATAATGAATTAGTCCAATTGGATTGTTGAATATACTAGAGAGGTGGAGCACTATGTGAAATATTTGTTACAAATGATGACTCCTGCCGTGTTTTCTTCTCTTTTTTTCTCATCTCTATTTTGTCAATAGTTTTCGATTTGAAGTACTATATCCGATTGGCTATTAGAACCACATAACAACCATCTGCCAAAATTTTTTAATGATTCAAGACTACATATCTATTTTGTAAGATACTTAGTGTCAATGAGACCAAACTTAGTATACAACAAAACTAGATTTTGTTTCTCAAAGATAACTCAATTTTTCATCGTTTACATCGGTATACGAAAGTAAACATTTTTTTGTTTCTCTATCGATCATGTAAATGTTTTTATAAATACTTAAAACATATTTCAAAGTATAATTATGTACATTGAAATAATTTTTGTATTTCAAAATTTAAATTTCACTAGATGAACTTTTTATGTTCATAAATGTTTAGTTTGCTAATTATTTTTTCATTGAACTAATCAATAACTGATTGATTAACAATAGAAAGATAAAAAGGTGATATAAAACCATGAAAAAATAAAATTTTATCAAATATATGCCTTTGATATAGATATACATATACATTTCACGTTTTGAAGGCTCAAACAAATTTCATTTTATATTATACATCTACGTGTTCACTAAAGCAGAACGGGAGTATAGTCCTTCATAGTAGTAGAATAATATAAATAATCATCATTATGATCATCGATATACACTCAAATTTTAATTTTAAAAATGTTTTTTCAATATGTTTCGTGGTCAGTTGAACCAATTAACTATATCGACTTCATCAATGTATACTATTTGTTTGTATTGAATCTTTATCGATCTTTCAAATCATCTATACTACATATGTATACGTGGGGGTTACTATCAAGAAAAGTAGTTTGTCTATAATACTCGAAATAAAAGAAAACAATTTCTTATATGTTTGTACTATATTGAACAATGATGTTCAAATTTCATCTTTGTTAAAGAATAATTGTTTAAAAAACCAAATTAAAATACTCTTGTATAATTTTTGTTCTTAGGAGGTACGGTCAAAAATGTTCAGGATGTCAACAAGGAATTGCACCCGATGATTTAGTACGAAAAGCACGAGAAAATGTTTATCATATAGATTGTTTTAAATGTTGTTCATGTTTAAAAAAAATGTCAACTGGTGAAGAATTATATATGACACATGACAATCGATTTCTGTGCAAAGATGATTTTATAAGAAAAACAACAAAAGATTTTACTATTGGAATATGCAAAAGTATGCCAGGTATTCTTTTCTTTTTGTTTATTCGTAATAAAAAGAAAAAAATATATATCTTTCTTCAAATATTTTTAAGATGATTTCGATGATGATGGAAAATCTTCAATTGAAAATGTTCCAAATAATCGACATTTATCACGTAACACTCAGCATCGTTTATCAAATGAGTTAAAATGTGAAAGAGACAATGATTTATCTACAACAACGACTACGACTATATCCTCTCATGATTATGATAAAGAAAATAATTTAAATGAGATAAATGGTCATCATCATTGTTTATCTCAACCATCAACATTAACGAATACGGACAGTAATTTAAGTTCATCCGATTTAAAAGATGAAAACATGGATATGGACGATTTGGATAGTGGCTCTGAAAATGGAAATGTAAATGACTGTGGTTTGAACGGATCATCAAGTGGATGTTCATCATCACATAGTCATAAGAAAAATGGAGCTATAGATCAAGATGGTAGTGGTGGCTCCTCGAATAGTACTAATAGTGGACCAAAAAAACGTGGACCAAGAACAACAATCAAAACAAAACAATTAGAAATGTTAAAATCAGCATTTGCCACAACACCAAAACCCACCAGACATATTCGAGAAGAATTAGCAAGAGATACGGGATTGGCTATGCGTGTCATTCAGGTAACTACTCTAATATTTAAGAAAAATATTGGTACTATATTTCTCATGTCTATAGGTGTGGTTTCAAAATCGTCGTTCAAAAGAAAGACGAATTAAACAATCGACATACAATAATGGTGGTAGAAGACATTATTTACGTCGAATTCCAGGTGATCATCGACGACCATTTGATGAAAGTGAAATTTTAGGTCATCATGGATTAGGTTATATAACAGGTAATCATAGACAAAATTCTTTTTATTCTTTCAAGACGATAGATAACGCTGTATAGAACAATGAAAAATGTGTACACATTTTAATAAACTTATCTGTTTCATTTTTATCTCGCTTTCTCTTTTGAGAGGCTCTATCACTAACGATTGTGTCTACTTTTCTGTTCTTTATTTAGACCAATTCCAATGCGAGTTTCCTTATCAACAACCATCGTTTAACGAGTTTATGATGCATCAACGATTAGGCTATGGTGCTCCATTAGAACATATGGGAAATATATCAAATGGTATATAATAAATACGTTTATTAATTTGACTGTCTAAATTTTCGTTTATATTTAGAAATACCATTTGGTAATGAAAATACGCCTAATGGACCCCCAGTAGTTCCCGATTCTGACGAACTTCCCCAGCAATTTAATGGTGGGCAACCTAATGGACAATTTTCTGCACTACATGATTCTTCATGGGGATGAAAGAACGCAAATATCTCTAGAATGTATACAATTTTCATATTTTTTCCATTGGCAACATCGAGTTCAATCTCACAGTGAACACTTTTTTAATCAATAATGACGCGTTTCATTATAAGTTGAATATAGAATCGACCAATAATACTCTCTATTTTTCGTGCCTTAAATTTTTTTCACTTTTAACTCAACAAAAAAAACCTACTATACAATCCTAAGAGGTCTTCAGCGTTTTCTTTCTTTCTGCGTTCGTTTTTTGTTTTTTTTTTTGTTTTCTAATGTAACAGTCAAAATTATTATTTGTTGTTCTTGTTTGTACATGAATATATTATATACGCACACGCACACCTATCTTCTGATTTCTTGTATGTTTTGAAACTAAACTTTCTCTCTTTTTTTGGATAAAAAATTCAAATATCAAAAAAATCAATATTCAAACCTTTTATTAGAACGATAACACATTGTGGTTTTTAGCTCAAAAAATTTTCTTCTTCTTTCTTATAGCACATTTCAGCAACGGAATTCTGGCAGCTGAGCACACCGGAAATGTCAACTTGAACAAAAACGAGAAGAAATAGACTATGTTTCCAAAACTTTTCTTTGTTTCCGTTTTCAGTTGAACATCACTTCCTGATTATGTGCAGTTCATTCTTTTTTTAACAAAAACCATTCAAGCAATTTTTTTTTTTCAAAAAAAAAATGAAACAACTTGACTTGCACAAAACGGAACACTAATTATCTCTGAATGCTTTTTTTCTTTGTTTTCTCAATACAAAAAAAGAATACAAGGAGAGAGAAGAGAAGTAAATGTGATAATTCAAATCGCATCGCATGTTTCACATTGATTAATAACATATCTATCAACATATTATATCTGACTGTCTGTGATGTGTCTCAATATAATTTCAAAGAATAACAGATCTTTCATTAAATATTCATAAATTCCGTCAAAGTCACATGAAACATCTCTCTTCTTCGACTTCTTTTTGTTGTTAGTTACCATTACTACCACCATCAACATTTGGACATCTAACTATATGTATGTGTGCGTGCCGTGTATATGTGAAATGAAAGGATGAATGAGATCGATTAATAAATATTGACAATGAATTCTTACAAACATAGAAAAAGAAGAGAAAACGAAAGAAAATCTCAATTTCTTTAACAAATAAGGAACGTGATTGAAATTAAGACCGAACCCAATGAGAATCATAACCGAGCCTAATATATATATATATAGAACAGCTTAAACAAACATGAAATTGAACATATGCGCATTGCTAGGCGTACAAAATTCTTTTTAGAATAATAGATCAAAATTTGTCTCAAAGAATGATAGTGCATGAAACAAACGAGGTTGTGCAAACTTGAAAATCAAAATAAACAAATCTTGTAACTAAGTTTTACACTTATCTAGTGATTCGTAATTGAGATTTCATATTCACGACTAATACTAGATTAAATTGCATTAAAACAGGCGTACATACATAGACTAGATCTAATATTATTTGGAACAAGCAAAGATACTAAATTGCCAGAATCATTATTTTTAACAAAAAAACAGTTGAAGCCAAAAAAAATAAATAATTCTTATTTTAAAATATTTTTCAATTTTGTTAAGACGATTGTTTTCTGCACTGAAAAGGAAAAAAGTGAAACACGTGACACAACAAGTTTTTTGATGTTATTCAATAAAATAATAAAAAAATAAAATAAATCAGTTTGTGCGTGCGGTAACTCTTGATTATGGCATATAATAAGAAATGATGCTGAAGCATATACAATGGCTTTAGGGCAGCTTGTTGTGATTTATGTGGTGTGTGTATGTGTGCTTTTAGTGAGACCCCTTGCGGCGTATTCAAGAAGCTCTCGAAAAGAAAATACACACGAAAGCATCGTGTTTTATCGCATGATAAAAATATAATTCTACAGCAGTTCGTTATTACTTTCTCTTCTAAAGAACATTATATTGTTGTTAAGTTCAAGAAAAACGAAAAAAAAAGACTGATATGAAACGGCCCGCTACTGATAGGTTTCCTTCTTGAAACACTTGATAAAAAAAGAGACAAGCCGTACAGCTATTTCTTTCTCGATCTTTTACATACTTCTTAGAAGCAAATAAATAACAAAAACTACAGGAAAAAACAGTCTCAAAAATATATGAGCAGAATAGATCTTTTTTATTAAACTGACGACTTCCACTTCAATATTTTAATCACTATCCGTTCGGTTATCTTTCTAAAATGTTGCAACTCTTTGTCAAAAATGAAACTTTCTGTGATTATCTTACCTCAAAGTACAAACTTCGCAGACTGAATTCTCTTCTTATTTAAAATCCCTAATCGCTTATGGAAACACTATTTCAGATGACTAAATATTTTACCTTTAGTTTTATGCTACACATCAAGGAGTTTTCGACATTCATTTTTGAAAAGAAAGTATAATTCCAAACATATCTGTAGTCGAAATATTTAGTTCTAAGCTGATGGGCGTTAATTAGGAACGGCAAATACCGCTCGATAACCGTGCCATAGAGAGTGGCGCCAGCTGTTAAATGCATTGGTTACCAATAGTCTTTTGACTCAGAATATACACACAACAATAAACAGGTCAAAATAGGCTACAGTAAAAATAGTACAGTTAGATGGTGGCAAAGTTTCATTAAAATCTGTGATGAAATCTGACGCTCTTTCCTTCAAGAATGATTTAGTGAAAATTTATGTTAGTCTTTCAATGTATCTTATCTTGAACAAACAAAACAGACAATATCACTGTAACACTTGACATTAGAAAGTGAGTGACTATGTCATCCGCTTTACCTTATATATCCAGAAAAGAGGATGAACTACCGTGTTTCCTTTTCTTTAATAATTCTTTGACTGATTCTATTAATTGGGATCTGTCGGTCCTATCTGCTACAACTTTCTATAACTAGAGTCATCTATTATTGGCGTCGACAATTCCTTTCACAGTTTATCCAATTATATCTATGCGTGTAGCCAATAACTTTTCTGTTGTTCTGTTATATATCTATCTAATCTTATCGCTACGTTGGAGCGTGATCAATCTGTAGAAGTACCGATGACTTTTTTTTGTTTATCACCCATCACCCACTTAACTGTTGTTCTCCTGGATGACTGGTCATCCGCTCTTATATGTGGCACAAAAACAGAATAATAATTGACCTGCTAAAGTGGATGATGGGTGATAAACAAAAGAAATTCACATTCTTTTCTGGATGTACAATGCAGAAAAGCGAATGACACACCGCTCACTTTTCCGATGTCAAGTTTTGCAGTGATGAGATCAAAAAGAAGGCAAACGAGACATATGACAGTATACTATTTTTTTCGGTAAACGCTTGAAATTCAGGGACCGTTTAATGATTATTCTTAACTCATAAGCTCACCCAGTTTTTGCCAGAAATTTCAGCGAACAACGAAATAGCAGCGATATATTATAACGGTGAGACTCCATCTGATACAATCATGCAATAAACTAACAGTTCATTTTGTACGTACATTCGATTTTTGGAAATACAGTTTGTTTTACAGTTTACATGGATTAGCTGTGATTCGTTTTCCTTTGCGAACTTCTCTTTTTATCTAAAATTTCTTATCTGACGAACGGTCAGACTTTTGTTTTTCTTATTATACAAGAATTATGACTTTTCTCTCTAGAACCTGTTCTTAACCGTGTGTGTTGTTATTATTTGAAAAAATCTCATTGGAACATCTTCGAAACCTTGTTTGATTCTTACGTGCTTTTTTCAGAACTTGTACACTTTCTAATGTAGTTATAAGAAACAGAGTGAATCACTACAGTTTAATCGGTAAAACAGAATACACCGGTTCCATCATCGATGAAATCTCAATTGAAACGCTGATGGATGCGATTGCGTTTGAGAATTTCTAACTAGTTGAAAATCATTTTGCATACAACGCGAGCTTTCGACACTTCACAGTATCATTGTCAGACTGATATAACTGTTGACTTCCGAAGAGAGAAATGATTATATATGGTAGATAGCGGGGTAAAGAGTAAATAGAAAAATAGTTCGTAACATAATTTTAGAATATGTTTATTTTTGTAATCTTACAGGGTACGGAAAGATCAAGTGTGAGTCGAAAAAAGCTCTAAAAAAGCATAACGAGTTTTTTCCCCAAAAGTATGTGCGCATTGCCTTTGATTTATGTCTACATTCATAAGTATGCTATATTTTGCTATCGTTTCAGATGTCAAATGTTCGTGGTTGCGGAGAGAGTGATGTCCGTGGTAAACCAAATGCTTCGTCTTCTTTTTCATCATTGTCTCGTGATTCGTTTTTAAATCGTTCTACAACACATGGAAGTGACCAGTCTGGCCGAATGTCCCAATTCTTTTTTTATCATGCAGCTTCTATAATATATCAGAAAAATATGATTTTTTTACCAGTTATAGTACTCGTATAGTGCTGACGATTTGTTATTGTTCAGGTTATATATCTTGTCCGAAACCAAAATAATCAAGTATCTTCGTAAAATTATTTGGTAAAACGCACTTTTATCAAACTTATTCATTTACTATAACGCGACATACACATTGATCACATTGATGTGAGGACGAGAGAATATTCGACGAAGAAAAGATAGTTTTTGCTTTACTAGCGTCTTTAACAGTGATTTACGTATCTTACAGACGTCCATATACAACTGTAGATGTGTTTGTCTCTAGTTATTGTTGACGCAGATTTCAAATGTATTGTTGATTATAAAGTCTTTCTACTACAAAATTCATGTAGTCCATAAACACTAGTACATCCATAAAATCTTGCCACTATTTTGGAGCTAGCACAATATTGAATGTGCATATTGTCAAATTGGGAAAACCGAAATAGAACACCAAAAATGTCTAGTAAGAGTTATAATGAACGAATAAGTTTGATAAAAGTGCATTTTACCAAATAATTTTACGAAGATACTTGATTATTTTGGTTTCGGACAAGATATATAACCCGAACAATAACAAATCGCCATCACTACACGAGTACTATAACTGGTAAAAAAATCATATTTTTCTGATTCATTATAGAAGCTGTATGATAAAAAAATAATTGGGACATCCGTTCAGACTGGTCACTCCCACATGAAGTAAGGTCTGTAGTTGGCCTTTAGATCGTTTACGTCGCCATTACTAGCCACTACAATCGCCAATCATCCTGCAAACGACTTGACGAAAGAATTCAGTTTTCAATACTACGTTGCACGATCGAATACGTGTAAATTTGTTCCGACGACGAAAAACGCAAGCCAATATTGCGCCAGAGACAGAGATCAACGATGGTTTAAATAATATTCAATCAAAAAAGTACGAAAAAAGGGTCTAGACAACGACATTCTCGAAAACAGAATTATCGATCAAATGATTATATCCAAACAGGGTTGCTTTGTTTCTTTCTGTTTTATCCTCATCTCTTTCAATCAGCCAAAGTATAAATAGCTTTTCTGTTCTGTGATGTAGTTTCTCTCACACGTGGTGTCTACTCACATTCCATCTTCTTGATAACGCTTGTGTCACTCACTGTCTATATCACACGTATCTCTATCTACAACATCTCTTTATCACTTATCACAGAGTATACAGGCTTTGGTCATTAATCAAAGATATAAGTTGTATGGATTGAGCTTTAGGAGTAGAATACACTATAGCAGTGCACAGGAAGTGAAAACAGCTCAGAGTTTACTTTTGGATAATTTAATCCAAAAGTAAATTCTTTGCATTTGAATTCAAAGTTCAAGTGTCTGATTCCATCAACTGTGTAGTGTTGTTTTGTGCTTTGCCTCTTTCTGTTCTATCCTTATCTCTCTCAATCTCTGCCACTCAAGTAATAATTCACGGAAACGCTCAAATACCAACAATTTCGAATTCTTTGTCACGTTCGTTGACGACAACATCAACAGTAGTAGTGTTTCAGTTAAAAATGAATCAGGGTTATTAAATTCAAAACAACCGACAACAAAGAAAAATGATCAATATGACGAGTTTAAATATGAAATTGAGGAAGAATATGAACCGAGACAAGTTCCGATTTGTGAAAGAAAATTAATATTTGATATTAAACAAGACACATGAATGAAAGAACAAAACCTGAATCTATTGACTCTATTCTTCATTTAAATTGAAAACCAAAATTTATCAAAGATTCCATCGTTTATGATTTCTGCTAAATCCGAACCTATTGAACCGATAACAACAACCATAAATCCTCCTGGTTCATCATCAACAACAGTAGATTCACCTCAATTAATTTTTTGATATTTTTCCGTGTACAATTACCATAACACAACCATCATCAGATGAGCCTATATTAGGAAACTACAAATATTAAAATCGAGAAATTGTAAGTTGAAGTTGGACAACAATACTATATTAAATGTTGATCGTGAGCAAACATTCATCATTGTTACAAAATGTAATAGTAGCGGAAATGATGAATATAGATATCGTAACAACAGTGAACACGAATGGTAATAATAATGATATGAATAAATTTGTTTGCCTAGGTGCTATTGAATATAAACTGATTCTATCATTAAATGTTGATCGTATTCTAAACACAAGTACTTAATGTTTCTACTTATATTTTATATGCATTTATTATCTGAAACTTCGTTTCAACTTCCTCTTTCTCCTATGACGAAAATAAGGAGTTTCTTCAACATCTCGTCCTACAGGATTAAAACCACATTTTCCAGTGGCTTTTCTTGAATGCTATGAAGTGTCTGCTTTTATTCGTACGTTATAATAGTGAAAAAGTTCTGTTTCATATTTCTAACTTTTGTAACTGATCGAAGTTGCTGAAACTATTTCTTTTCCAATTCATGTACGAGAAGCTGAAGAAAATTCGATCTGAATATTAATGTAATAATCTATTTCTAGATGACAACTAAAGATCCTATTCCCAAATCCACAATATTTTCTCATGTTCTATCAACAATTCAATATGATCATTTTCTAGCTGGTGTTAGTGGTGGTGTGATATCTTCTTTTCTTTTACATCCATTTGATTTAGTTAAAGTTCGTTTTCAAGTGACTGAAAGTAAAAATCCTCTACAATCTTTACCCTATCGTCCGCGTTATAATGGTTTAGTTGATGCGTTTCGGGTTATATATAAAGAAAATGGTATTCGTCATGGACTTTATCAAGGTGTAACACCAAATGTAATTGGTGCCGGTTTATCATGGGGCCTCTATTTATTTGCTTATAATACTATTATTGTTTTGACAACTGATAGTCGACAAAAAAAACCATTGACATTTAAAGATCGTATTGTTTATTCAACAATAGCCGGACTCTCTACGGTTGTAATCACAAATCCTATATGGCTACTGAAAACACGTCTTTGTTTACAGTACAGTAATCCATCAACAGTTCACTATCGAGGCATGATTGATGCCATAAAAAAAATTTATCGTTATGAAGGTATTCAAGCATTTTATAAAGGTTTAGTACCAGGATTATTTGGCACCATACACGGTACAGTACAATTTGTTTCTTATGAACAAATGAAATCATTATACTGTTCGATGATGAATACTTCGCAATTATCAACACCGATTATATTAACATTTTCAGCATTATCTAAATTATTAGCAGCAACAACGACCTATCCTTATCAAGTTGTTCGAACAAGATTGCAAGATCAACATCAACGGTACAATGGAGTATTAGACGTTATTATAATCACATACAGACGGGAAGGGATACAAGGATTTTACAAAGGCTTACTACCCACATTATATCGTGTTGTACCAGCTTGTTGTATTGTCTTTTTTACCTATGAAAATGTGATAAAACTCTTTAAACAATAGAAAATTTTCTCTCCGATTGTTAACAAAGTCAGATGTCGACATTTTATTCTCGTTTCTAGAAAATAGAAATTTTGTTATATATTACAAAATGAATTATTTGTGGCTCTAGTTTGTTTTTATGTGAAAAGTCCTCATAGGTATTATTGCTCTAAAGCCTTTCAGAACAAGTATATATTGATAATAAGTCACGTATTTTTCAAATGATTATCGTAGCTTACAGTAGTATCATATTTTCTTTTGATTTTTTTTATTAATACTAGTTTATAACGTTCTTTGAGTATTTCTAATGAAAAAAATCTTGTCATTCAGTCATTATTTGGTGAAAATAGTTTAATCAGCGTTGTCCCTATTATTTTGCATATTAAATAATTTGTTAAATTTGTTTTCATAAAACATTTGATTAAATATTTTTATTATTCGTTCAAGTTTTGTAATATCTACTATGATTTATCCTGATCATCTATCATTATTGTGTCTATCATTATTTTCTTACTATTTTAGAAGCACATGTTTGTATTTAAAAGTTAAAGCTTCTCTTGAACATGCCTAAATCAAAAGAATTTATTGATTCATCTGGTGATGAATCTGATAATGGTAAGAGAAAAAGACCAACAACAACAAAGAAAACAGAAGCGACTAAAGCGCCCACCAAAACGGATGTAAGTTCTTCTAATATATTTTCAAACTAATGTCTGCTATGATTTTTTTTTTCTTCTTTTCTCATAGCCACCGGCAAAACGTGCAAAAACCGAAGCGAATGGTTCAAAAGCATCATCAGCTGACACATCATCAACTGGTATTAATGGTGAAAAACGCTATGAAGTATGTTTTTCTTACCTCTTGCATTTTATCATGAAAAAAAGTGTGTCATTTTTGTTCAAGTTGGGAAAAATGCGGCATATTAGTGTTAGTGAATTTAAAAATAAACCGTATGTAAATATTCGTGAATATTATTATGATAAAGATGGTGAAAAACCGGGCAAAAAAGGTAAATCAAATTTTGTTTAATATCTCTATAAATAATGATTAGTGTTCTTTCATATTTAGGCATTTCATTATCAACTGAACAATGGCAAAAATTAAAAACATTTGTTAATCAAATTGACAAAGACTTAAAAGAATATTAGATTTTGGTGCTGTTATTGCTTTATAAGAAAAAAGAGACTATTTGTTATCAGACAGATTCTGTCTCTAATTTTTTTTGTTCATACTCTACAATATTTTATTCATGATACAAAAAACAATTAATGGTATTTCTGTATATTCCGTTTTTCTTCGATTTGTCTGTGCATTATTAATTTTTTAATAAAATTAAATGTTGTTACAAATCTGACCATATCTATCGTCAGGAAAAAGCGTTGTGTTATCTAATTAATTGATCTTCTAATTTCGATTTTAGATCATTTGCATGCGCATGCTTTATATGAATGAAAGAGGCACTAGTATCAACAGTCTCAAGAAATGTTGTATTGAACTGTATACGAGAACAAAAGGTAACCTTAAAACAGTTCAAAATTTACATTTATTCTTCTAGTCTGGAAAGACTTTCAGTAAATTATGATGAAAATGTAAATTGTTCAGAGAAATCGAGCTATTAGGAGACAAATAAATCAGTTTAAAAAAGTATTGTTCGATCTTCCAGGTTATTGTGAAAAGAGTTATTAGTTATTTTTAATAATTCGTTCATTTTTTTTCTTTCTATTTTAAAAGCGTCTTGATTGTCGTGCACTTAATGAAACTCGAAAAATTAAAATTGATTTTCGACAACATCCTGGTTGTGTCTCTGTTACTTTTGGTCGTACATGGTTGAGTGTTATTTTATCTTAATGTTTCAATATATAGTCATTTTTCTGTTACTTTTAAAATAGTGTAATTGCTCAAGTATCATGTCGTATTACAAAACCAAAAGAATCTCGACCCTGCGAAGGACATATAAGGATTCATGTTGATTTAACAAAAATACCTCTAATGAATTTAGAACAATGGAAGTAAGTAGAATACATTCAATTCTAGTATTTTATTTAAACTAATCGTCATTTAGACATCAGGAATTTGCCCAAGAAATAAATTCGATTTTAGAACAGAATATACGTCATGCAGGATGTATTGATTTGGAATCATTGTGTATAAATGCTGGAGAATTGGTTAGTAAAACATGTGATCAAACTGGATGTAACTGTTTGTATCCTATTTAGGTTTGGTCAATTAAAGTTGACATTGTCGTGTTGAATAATTGTGGAAATATTTTGGATTGTGCCAGTATTGCTGCACTTTGTGCATTATATCATTATCGGTAACGTTAAATATATTTTATATCACAGTAACAAGTCATCTTATTTCTATCTAGTGTTCCAGAAGTCAGTGTTCACGGTTCCAGTGTACGAGTGGTAAGTTCTTGGCTTTTTGTTTTGTTTTTCTCGAATGTAATTGATATATTTTTGTCATTTTTCAAGTATGGACACAATGAACGAAAACCACGACCATTGCGTGTTTTACATTTTCCATTAAATGTAATGTTTGCATTTTTTTGCGATGGGTATGAACTATGAAAACTATTGGTTTCTTTGAATTTGTGTATTTTTTATTTATTTTATTTAGACGTTTTACAGTGATTGATCCAAGTGATGAAGAAGAAAAAGTGATGGATGGCTTTGTGGCTGTGGCAATGAATACTCATAATGAAATATGTGGAATCAAATTAAGTGGAAAACTTGGACTCAGAAAAGATCAGGTCATTATTTATGATCATTTGAATTTGGAGAGACACTATTAGGTCGAAAAAGCTAACTTTATTAAATTTTCTATAGGTTCGATGCTTTTTCAATGTACTACAAATTCGATTGAATTTGATTTGAAGCTTTTATAGGATTCTTATTTTATTTAGATTGAAGTGTGTAAACAAATAGCTTATTCTAAAACTGCTGAATTAACTGACATTATTCGACATGCAGTTAACGATTATTACAAGTATAGCATTAACGATTTTGACTATACTTATCATTATTGGGTTTATTTGTTTAAGAAAGGGTGAAGCAGTTGTTAATCATCACTTATGTACGGATAGAGAAGATGAGAATAGAGATAGTAATGATGAAAAAAATGAGATTATGACGAAAACAAATGTTGACGAGGCAGCTATATCAGTGAGTATAGAAAGATGAATAAACCAGATTAAAAGATACTATTACGGACATTTTCATATTTTAGCTATTATTGATGCCTGCCATGAATCGTTTATCTGTGAGTCAAGACGATAATTCTGATATCGATCGTTCTATATCTTTTCCCGAGCGTAAGTACATTGTTCAGTTCATATTCATGATACGCATCCTTGTTGTTTCATTTAGCTGATCTTAACCAACTACAAGAAGAATTTATTGAACCCATTACTCCCATCGAACTGACGTAAGAAATCTGTATGATATGAGTTTTGCTTACAGACTCCCTGCCAGAATTCTATCTCGATAACAAGTCCTATCTGCATAAATCGTTCAGAGACGAATTGATCATGAAATCACCTTAATTTAAGGCTTCTACTAAAAGCCTCATAGCTTTTTGATCTGAATGCCATTGAAAGTTATTCAACGTTTCATTTTGATAAAAAATAGGTAATACAAACTGACATCGTTGAAATTGTATTATTCACTCAAAATCTATCAGAGTTAGAGAATTTTCGAAGGTTTTTCTATAAAGATTTTTGAAAATCTTCAAAAGTTATCTGATCAAAACCAAGACGAATTTGTAAAGCAAACATTATAAGCTATCCAGCCGTGTACTGATGGAAGTTTGAGATGTCTAGCAAAGGCGAGAAGAGTATTAACGTTTGCCACTTCATTTTTTCTAGGACCGCTGAGGAAAACAAAAGTATTCATGTTTTACCTAACGACGAGTCTTGGCCTATAGCTGTAGAGATTAGAAGCAATTCGACAAGAAAAAATGAGTGTGATATCGTCGATGTTGTTTCAATTATTGCAGATACACTAAATTGGATTGTAGGAGAAATCGAAGCATCATATATATCGAACAAAACGGGAAATTATATTATTGATCATGATTTGACAGGAGAAAGTAAAAATAGTACGCATTTGTTCTTGATATAGTAAATTAGATTGATGTTTTGATTAACAAGAATAATAAGTGGTTAGAGTAAAACGATCTTACAATGTTTTTTTCTTGTTCTATGTCATATCAATTCGGTACATGTATTTACTCACGTTTGTTTATTTTTTACAATGTTTTTTTATTTTTGTCTATATCATATTTTTCTTATTTTAAAATGATCTCATTTGACACAAAGTTTCAAAACTGATCCGAACACTGCGAACTTAAAACAGGAAATGGAATAATCAACGGGTAGAACAAAAATTTGTTTACTTCTGTTTTAAATATGTCAAAATGGCACTGTTAAAGCGTGTCCTCTACTTCCATATTTTTCAAATTTCTTATTTTAATTGATCAAACAAATTAAATATTAGACAAGTTAAAACAAAATTTATTCTGTAATTTAACGGTAATACACTTGCGAATATCTTCAAAAATCATATAAAAAATGGACTGCTGGAGGATCAAGTTTTGTAAGACTTAAATGGACATTAAATATCGTTGATTCTGTTAAAAAAAGAGAACTTCATATTTCTATAATAATTACCACTATAATTTTTACCGCTAGTTTTCTATCTACGCTCAAGACCGTATGAGAGAATAGTTTATTTCGATTAAATTTTCTGAGCAATAAAAGGTATGGTTGAAAAAAGTATTTTAGGGCTTTAAATAACAGCCAATATAATAGCTCTCATATCTGAACACCCCCCGTTGCCAATTGTCTTTAATAGTTTTACGAATTGTTCCATTTTATATTTTACATCTGAACAAATCTGTAATGGATTCTAAAGACAAAACAATTATATTATCGGGATGTGGTGGCGGTTATGGTAAGTGGTTCATTTGATTTCATGTTATCTACTAGGAGTTTGCAGATTTATATGTCACGTCATTTTTCGCTTAGATGTCGGTTTGGTTTTACTCGATAATGCTAGATTTCTTTAAAAAAAAAGAGTTCACAATATTAAAACTATTTTATTTATTTCGATTTTATTCAGGACATGGTGGTCATATCACATCACAAAAAAAACTTGAGTCTTCGTTATCTGCACTTATCTGCTAATTATACACTTAAGTATGACTTAAGTCTAGACTTATCATTAGTTTAGTCGGTGACTTAAGTTTTTCGTGATACGACTCCCATGATGAATAAAATTACGAATTTTCCATCATACATTTATCCAAAGTTCTGAATCATTTTTTGTCTGTTGGAGATACGGAAGGGGACTAAGGTATACTGATTCCTTTTCTGATTTATCTGAAGAACGGTCTATCTAATAGTATAAAAAACTACTTCTCAGGGCTTCAATAAAAATTTCTCGAAAACTGAAAAAGTCTCTCTATCTCTAGATTTGTTACCAAAGACAGTCCCAGCTCTGTGCTACTAGGAAATCTACGAAGAAGAGGTCGGAATAGGAGGGAGGATATATGGTAAAGATCGAAAGCTGGTAAAAATCAGCGTTTTTACAAAAGTTGCCTTTAGACTTTGTCCACTGCTAATCACGACTGGCTATTTGAACAAATAAAAAGTATACCACTTGGTAGGACTTGTAAAGCTGATTCTAATCGACTAATTTCCGTCTAGTTTTGCTTTTATTATCGTGTTCAAAAATACTGTTAACCTTAAGCTGTTATCGTCATTTTGGGAATCTTAGGATGTGTGCTGCCCCTATATATACATACTGAAATTTTCTCATACATATCAATTTGGCAGAATTAGTTAGAATGTTTGATGTGAATAGCAACATGTTACTCGGTTTTACAAAAACAATATATTAATTAAAAAATCATAGAGAATAAAATAAAAGATTCAAATTTGTTATTATTGGATTGAGCTGTATGATCCCATGTTGTCGGAACCGGACTAAAACCGGCGGTTAACCACAGTTATTTCAGCTGAAACCATAGCAACACAGCAGAAAAACCGATAGTTAACTTCACAATTTAACCGGAAAAACGCGCGGTTCCGACGGCTGATACCGACCGTTTTTCCGGTTATTTGTGAGGTTAACCGCCGGTTTTGACAGCATGGGATGGTTTAATTTATTTTCACACATAGTCTTATTCTTGACTAACATTCTTAACAAACTATTTTGCAGTCTAGAAATTTGCCTGTTCCTCCCAGCTTTTATATCTTAATTCTAGAGAAATATATTTGAAAGAAATAAAATACTTCTAATTTTGTGAATGTTTAAAAATAAAAATAAAACTAGCACTATCACATAAAACCCAACCACCATGTAAAGAACGAAACATAAAGTAATCCATTTATTTTGGATCATCCATTAGATATATTTGGTACATTACCCTTCTATTTCAAAATGGAATCCGATGCCCGAAAAATCATACTAGTTAGTTATGCGTTTACAAGTCAAGTCTGTCTCGATAAAATTGGTCAAAAACTGACGAATATATTGTATAAAGTAACGGCTAATTCAACAATTGCTGATGAAACATATTGTCCAGAATGGCGATTATCGCATCAATTAAATAAACCGATTTATACAATACTGTGTGATTACACTATCACAACATTGCAATACATTTTAGACGCTTATGAATATATAATTAAACATGAATGCGATGGCATAGTGGATGAAATTTACCTTATCGATTGTGGTTCTGATGTTCTTTTGACTGGTATGCATGCACATAGATTTCAGACTTCATATTCGCGCTCGAAGTTAAAAATCTACTTGCCGAATCTAAATAGATATGAAATAGTTTGAGAACGACTACGGACAAGAAGGAGAAAAAATTATTCCTTTATTCAACGGTTCAGCTCTAAGATGTCTGAAGAATTTGATATTGTCTATAAAACTGAGAGTCAAGGCAAGGATGCAATACAGTCGTACATTTTTGTTTTCTCGATCAATTTATACTAATAATTTACTCAGAAAACATCTTACAGTCATCTCTATGGAGAATCACATATTCTATCCATCGCTCCTTCCTACAAAAAAAAAATTGAAACTTTTCTATTTTATCATGAAAACGAAGTCTAAAACCTCACTACATGTACATATTTCTCGTTTATCTCTGTATAATCTTTCAATTGTTGTGAATAGGAAATGAGAAACAACTGGGTACACCCATTGAAGACATGTCACATTTAAAAATTGTTCAATTATTAAATATAAAAAAGAAATATTTGGGTGCTGTTGGAACGAATATTGACACAGGTCATGATGTTTTGCAACAAGATATTGATAATAGACTAAAAGCGTTAAAAAATTCAATATTATTGACATGGACGTGGGAATTACAAAATGAATACGTTAAACAATATTACGATATATTTCAAAAATGTGAACCGACACATAGTATTGTTCATAGTTTAATATGTTCAGCATTAGAAGGTCATCGTGGTTCATATATACCAGAGCATTTAAATAAAAGAGTAACAAAATCAAAAGTATTATTAAGTGATGCGACAAAAATTGCCTATTTATTTGATTTAGACGATGTGGCATCTCAAGTAATTTATCTGAATAAGTTTAAGTTATCAATGAAGTTAGACAACATTTATGATACAATTTATGGATTGCGATAACTAGGAGACTAAATATTTTAACAAACACTCATTATTATTGTGTAGATATCTGCACAATTAAACTAACAATTTTCATTGTATAAACAGTGATACTGTTATCTCTTTTTCTATTTCAAGTGATCAGAATTATTAAATTTTAAGGTTAATCAATGATGTTTACCAATAATCGCAGCATTTATTTACTTTTAAATTCTCATTCTTCACAATAATTTAGTCTGTTTTTTATTTTACACGTATAGATGGCTGTTTTAAATTAAGCACAGAAAGGAGAATATTTTTCAAATATTGAAAGAGTAACCATGTCAATTATAATTCTTGCTTTTATACGCTTGAAACTTCAAATATATGTACCGAACAAAAAAAAATGGAAAGAAAATGTTCAGTTACCTTAACACTTGGTGATATCATCTGTAGTGGATGAATGAAGGCTAATCATTCTTATGTCTTCTATATCACCGGGCGTATAGTTTCAACGAAAACCAGATGAGATAGCAGTAGGATAAAATATAAGTGAAAATAAAATATGGTACTGCTTTAAATATCGTTTAATTTTATTTTTAATTAAAAACTCTATCAGAGTTAATTTAATTTAAATAACAAAAATATAGTTGCAAGACTTTTGACCGTCGTCTACAATCATCAACAGGCAATATACTCGCTGTATCAAATTTTACCTCTTTTTTTTCTTTTATTCTTGTTCAAGCGTGAATATTCCCCCCCCGTTGTATCGAAGCACATCCACGTTGTATCAATGGTATTGTTTACCGATTTTCATTATGTTTTTCACTTTTGATAAAATCTGAATAGAATCGACAGCGAACTTTCAATATGCTTAAATAAACTAGGATGAAATAAGGCTACTGATTATTCTGACTTAACAAAAAGGTGATCATCATACTGATCACATACTCATATGTTTCTCGTTCATGAATAATTAAATTTGTAAAATATTCAGAAATGTCCAATGAAGAAATTTAAACAAATCATCATGATAATATAATAAATAAGATAAACAATTAAATAAAAGACGATGGCATTCAAAGAAATTAATAATATTCACTTCTGACTTAAATGTCGTAATTGATGATCTTAAAACTCGCTTGGATATTAAAAATTAATCACTATCGATTTAAACAGTTTTTCAGTTGCCGTCGAACAGATCTAGAAACGAAAAGAAATTTCATATTTTCAGATGTCCATTTTCTGGACGTTGACTTGCAACGTATACTTCACTGTGGATAATCAGGTGGATACTTGGCAAAAAATCGAAAATAATCTTGTTTTATATTTGAATGGTGAATGGCACATATACTTTTAACTATGCTCTATTTAATTTAAACTTTTTTTTATTAAACAATAAATCGGGTAAAATCCCATTATGTTCTGTTTAATGACATAAAAAGTTTTTTTACAAATGTGGTTGGTCGTAGAAAAATCCTAGGACAAAAATTAGCCTGAAAAATATATTTAAGGAAAAGTTCATTTTTTCTACAAACTAACAATACTTGAAATAAAATTCAAACATATTCTGAATCGGTTATTTTAACAAGAATTCTTGTTTCGTCTGATGAGAGATGCATGTTTACTTGAATTCATCCAAACGAGACGAACCAGTAAAACCTCTGGAACATTGTTATTTTGAGGAATTTTTAGTCGTTTTTTAAAAGGCGTTTAGACGAGAGACTACCAGTAGTGCTCTAAAGAGAATTCTGCAAAGATCGCAGAGTGACCTTACTAAGATTGTGAGAATTGAAAATTTTAAGATTTGATAAGGTTTTTGCTAAGATCTTATTAAGATAGGTTAATTTATCTAAGATTTTTTGTCAAATATATTATTTAATTTTTGAACAAGTAGTTGATCAGATTTGAACATAGCTTGGAAAGTACATGTTCACGAAGAATTTGAGTTTCTCTTCTATAAAAGGAATCCGCATTCGCTGGGAATTCATTTCGCTATGCAATGGATGATAATAATGTGTATTGGTGTATTTGATGTGTTTGTGAATTCTCTATTATTTTCTGACGAGTTCAGGTTACCATGTAGGTCAGATGAGGATCGATGGCAAATTCTCTATATTTTGCTGACTTTGATAGTTTTGACTGCTTGACACTGAAATTTTACCAGATAGACAGTTTGTCTAGATGTGTGCCGGGGGAGACAGGTATCACGAGAATTAGTCACGAGACAATATTACCTATATGGTGACCTCAACTAGTGAGAGAAATATTGCAAGTCTATAGCCAGTATGAAGGTATGTTGCATAACGAAAAAGTAAAAAATAATTCGATCCGCCGCTAATGCAAATTTTCCATGATGGTGATTTGATTATCTTATCAAAGTCTCAAACGGCACATCTTACAAGATCATACTAAGATAATTTTATCAAGTGTTCTAGATGCTTACTGAATCTGCAGTTGTCACCATTAGGACTCTTCGAGAACTTCTAGCGTTTGTAGTAGTAGTATATGTTCGTGATTCTTGTTTAAATTTGTCCCTTTTCAAGCTATAGTGGAACTATGACTAACTCTCTAAAAAACTAAATTTTTCAATTTCAAAAACCCTTATGATTCAAAGCGTAACACGCGATAAACGGAAACTAAAGACATACATCTCAAAAATGTTCTTAAATATCTCCGACAAAATTTTCGACTCAAACAGACGAAGTTCAAAATGGTATTGAATGAAAAACTGGACTTTATGCGAAATTCGGCAATAATAATAGCCGGATGCTTGAAACAACAAAAATATGCCATATTTAAATCCTAATTCGTCCTTTAAATAGAAGGCCTGCTTAATCATTTCTAGTTTTCATTTGCTAGCTTTTCTTTGAAAAGGCTAGAAAGGGGTGAGTGATAAGGAGGTTATACGTTAAGAGCTTTGCTTCTGTTATATCAAAAATAAAATGTCCTTGTCCTTCGATCTTTTCTTTTAGCAATAAAACAGCTAAGACACAGGGCGTGCGATACGCATATATATCTTGATAATTTTTTTTTTGTTCTAGTTGAACAAAAACACGATAATTGCGTTATTACTTTCTGCGATTGATCTGTGTGCCTTACTTATCAAACGTTCCAAATGACCGGTTTTTCCTTGTAGCAATAACAGAGAACGGATTGTATTTTTTATCTCAAGTTCGATCGATGTTCGATGCTTCTCTACTTATCATTTTACCTGTTAAACATGTGACTATTATGACTCCGAATTTTTACATTGGTTTTTACTTTATGAATACACAATCGAGTTGAAAAGTATGGGTCAAGTTTTTAAAAGAAACCAAGGCGTCGTTCAAAGTGCACCTTACGGTTATCAGCAGCAACCAATGATGCAACAACAACCTGGTATGGTAGGTCAACCACGTCCTCAGATGCCTATGCAACAGCCTGTTATGCAACAACAGCCTATGGTACAACAACAGCCTATGATGCAACAACAGCCAATGATGATGCAACAACAACCGCAACAACAAATGATGGGTGGTCAACAACAGATACCGTTTATGCCACAGCAGCGACAATTTTCAACACAGTCAGCTATGGGAGGATTTCCTCGTACGAATAATTCTCAAGGACAGACATTCGAAAATGATGTTATATTATCAAATTTAACTGGTTGGTCGCTAAATGAAGTTGAACGTCTTCGTCATGAATTTATGATGTATGCAAATCAGCACGGCGTAATTGATCGGGAATCGTTTCGTAAACTGTACGTTGCATCCTTATTAAATATGAATTGGGAAACATTGGAACATGATGCCGAGGCGGCATTTAGAAACTTTGATGTAAATTTAACGGGTGCCCTCGATTTCAATGAATACATTACAGCATGTTCAAGAATGGCACGAGATATGCATGGACCACAGTATTGATCAAAGTTGACAATACAAGCAATAACTGTCCGTCTCAGGAATAAGTCATCAGTTTGAGATATAGGCCAAATCACCCATATAGTCAGACAAAATCTTACGCTCGTCCAGACATCGGCCACGTACATACACTATTACTTTTTGTTGTAAATGTTCTCAAGTAGTCTACTTCCTACTTCCACACAAAATAATATTGAAGAGAAAAAGAAAAATTATAAAAAAATAAATCTACAGATATAAACACTTGTTTTCAATTGCAAAACAAGCTCTTCTTTACGACAGTTTGTCAGTTAGCGTTATGGCTGCAATCAGCCAAAAGCAGACCTATTAACATTCTATTAAAACACATCGAACTGTAACTTTTCATTTCTTTTCTTGTATGTGAGTTCACTATCATGCGTCAATTCGTAATTTTTATTAATAGTATACAGTCGAGCATAGAGTGTTTTAACAAGTGATATACGGACACTGACCCTGCGATTTAATTAATTTCTTCGATTAACTTGACTTGGTTTATTAGCTCAATATATGACTAAAACGATAACAGCATCCAATTTACATGCTAAAACAAGAATAAAAGTAACATACTGAAAAAATCAACAATAGAAGAATTGATGATAGCTGCAAAAGATAAACATCTATTCGTTTTGCAGCTTGTAGAAAACCATCTTCATGTTGATCTTGAATATGCCTTATTTTTTAGTACATTTTCATTCATCAGTAATAAGTAGTATGTGTAAACATAAATTTAATCAAAAATATACATTGATCTTATAGATTATGCTGAAGAATCGAATAGTCACTCTTCTACTTATTGATCGTTTTCTTTGCGTCTTAAAGGTAACCTCTACCTTTTTTTTTAGAAAATTTTCGACCTTGAGTTGAGGAAAGTGATGGAGTGAGTACACATAGATAATAGATGGAAAATTAGACAGTACATTTCCTATTGTATTCAATTCTTGACTTTGTATAACTATTTTTCTTGAACCTACATTTAGTCCATTTTGATTCACCTAAACATATTCGGCTCCATTTGTGAAATCTGTATTAATCTCATTTTGACCAGAGACAGAGATATGAAATACAAAATCATCTTTCGGTTAAGAATGTTTTGTTTGATATAACATGTAAAGGTTTATTTTTCATTTTTATCAAGTATTTGATGACCGTCTTCTAAGTTATTTTTCTACCAAAAATGTAAAGTAATACAAAAGATTTAGAAAAACACAGAGTATTAATATTCATTGTCTTAATTCATTCAAACATCGTGATTATTGGTTATAACTTGCAACTTTTGAAAAAAAGTTGAAATCTGAGAAACGTCGGCTAAATCAACTTGAACAGCTTCGCCAACCAGATTACAATTACTAAAGCGGAATGAAGAAAGAAAGACTAGATAGTCATCATTCGAAAGTTAAAAATATAGTCAAATAAAGTCAGATAATAATTAACTTTTATTACCGGATTTGTGTATTTGTCTCGTAAACAGAGGGATGATAATGGAGATTAAATAAAACAAGTGCTCTAGAAAACTTCGCAACCGATTTTTTTGTTTCTTTATTTTGAATATATCTCTATTAGCGGTGTTAAAGCATTCGTTCACTTTTTTTTCGAAAATTTTAAGAGTTGACTTAGCTGATGTTTGGTTTACTGTTAAGTTTAAATCATATAGAAAGAAAAGAGTAAAATATATTACTTGCGCATGTCACTGAAACCATGCACTGGATACATTGGTTGACTAGACTCGATTTTTGGCAATAACTAGAAATAAAAACAAAAATTTTATAATTGTTAGTCTGCTTTTCGTTTGTCGTACTTCTTGAGCTCTCCTCACAACTTCGTCTGGAAGACCAACAGTAAGGGCAACATTGAAAGCTTGACTTTTTGTGCATATTCCATCAATAACACGATATAAATAAACTAATTGTCCATCCTTATCATTCATTGTTTCCATTGTCTTAACGAGAAGAAACTAATGTAGTTTGTGTGTGTGTGTGAGTTTTTTCCTGATGTTGTGCTCTTACCTTGCACGATATTCGTGACAATTTATCAGGATGGGGAATTAGTTTGATTAAATTATGAAAATGTGTTGATACTACAACATGAGGACAGTGAACATTTTGTGCGTACCAGTAATTGAGAATGGATGCTAACAATGCGGTGCCATCAATCTATAGAAAGAAGAATAGGTATAATTTTATAAATCTTATCTTACACATATATTAATAATCATCAATTTTATTCGCTGCTATGTCGCTGTTATGAAAGGAACTTCACAAAATTCGACGTCTAATTTACTGTCACAGTTCATCACATTCAACAGAGAGAGAACGTTTAATATGAAGCTACCTCGTTTGTACCAACTCCAAATTCATCAACTAATACTAATGAACATTGTGTTGAACCAGCTACAGCGAAGGAGGTTTCGAAAAGATCTCGAAGAAAATTTGATACACCCAATGTTAAATAAGTATCTAAATATGAATCAGTATTATTGTCATTAAAATAACTTCTTGTATCCTAATCGACAGACCAGCATGAATTTTAACAAACAATTTATCTATCAGACCCAGTTGTACCGATTCTGCTGGTACAAAACATCCTATTTGGGCCATATAAACAATGAGACCAATCTAAAGTAGCGATAATACCACAGATGACACGAAATGATAAAACGTGCACGTCGTACTTGTTTAATATAAACCGTTTTTCCACTACAATTGAAACCAGTTAATATTTGAATATTTGATTTTTCAAATTCACTTGAATAACTGTTGGCAATGACATTTTTTGTACGTTGCTCTAATAATGGATGTCTAAATTATAAAATAATTATAAACGATTATAAATCTCTTTTTAAAACTTGATATACCTTCCGTTAACGATATTGATAATATTTTTAGTTGTTAATACTGGTCGTACATAATTCGCTTCTCTTGAACGCATGGCAAATGATAATAAACTAAGCAAAGGCCACAGTTTACATATAACAATGAAGATACTTTGTGGTGATACTTACCAATCTAATTGTGAACATAAATCGATCAAATCGACAAATAATTCGACTGAATCTCGAATACGTAATGATAATGAACGTTTTATTTGAACTTCTTTGCCTAATAGAAGTTCTCGTTTTTCTTCGGCCTCTTTTATTGTTTCGACTATTTCATGTGTACGACAACGCCACGTATAACTATGTTGATCTAACCAGATCACATCAGGATGATAAAATTGTTCGCCTTTTACTAATAATGTCGCATTATCCTAAATAAAGCAACAATTGAAAAAACTTCTTGGACTTCTATGAGATATTGCACCTGTGTTAACGTATAACTACAATCAACACCAAATTGTATCAATGTATTGGTCGCAAATTTTGCTTGTTCATTCAGTTTTTGATTCATGAATGTAAGCGTGTATCGTACTAAAATGCAGAGCGACATATGAATTACAAGCAGAAGGTGTGCATGGTATGTTACAGTCTTCTAAATCAGGGTCGGAGGTATCAATGAACACAATTCGATTATCTTTCGTACTTCGTTTCAGATCAATCTAAAAATGTCATACAGTTGACAGTTACAAATTGGAATTCAAATATGAAAATATATTGTAAAAATTTAGGTCTATATTTGGTTAATACATACACTAGATTCTATCACCATCACAAGTTTCTGTAATTCATCCGCCGATAATTTAGTGCATATATCCGTAAAAAAAAGAGCATCTAATTGATATGGTAATAAAGCTTGTCGAATCTTAATAGCTGAATTTGTTGTCTGAAAGTATATAGAATATTAGGTAATACAGCGAGGTTTATACTCTAGTGCAAAATTATAAAGACGATTTGTTATTAATGTTTTTTGCTTGGTCATAATAGTCAGAACAAATCCAAAAAGTAATTTCAATAGCTGAAAGAGTTTTCAGTTGGGTGCTTCCACGCAGCTTCTCCGGGTTTATACAGCGACCAAAAGCCGCCAATATGTGACTACGTTCAGTTTGTAGGGCATATTGAGTTACATAGGAATCGATATTTTTTTTCACTAAAAATCATGTCCCACGGACTTGGCAGCACGAGTAGCAAAAGTTGTCTATAGGAAAAAATTTTGAATATTGCGACTTACGAAATAGTCGAGCTAGAACGTTTGGAAAATCCTATGAGAACCAATGGAAAACTGCTTATTTTTTGTATCGAGTATTAAATACGGAAAACTACATAGAATATAGACATGTTTATACTCAAAATGAAGCTTATTTCATGGTCTGTCAACTGACGCAAGCATCAAGCCTTCATCTTGCTTGATTCATAGCTGATAGACTCCGAAAGGTAAGCATTGTTTCAAAAAAACCCTAACTTTGAGCACGGTTTTCTCCAAAATCTCCTGTCATAATTCTCTCAAAATTGTTTTACGAAAGTATCTCATCTAGTACCACTAGTGTTCCAAGTTTCGAAGTTTGCATACTCGAACTTCGTGAGATACTTGAAACCTGTTGTCCAGAAAACCTCTGGAAAATCAGCTGTTGGAATTTCTTTTACAAAGGTCAGAAAAGTACAATAAGGGAACCTCCTTCAAATGAGATGTCTCTCAGCTTCATCCGATGTTTATTTAAGGAGGTGTTTCATTTTTATTAATCTGAGATGTTCCTCGTAGCATACTCAGAAAGTCTCTATTAAAATAATAAAAATTGTGACGGGGATTTTTGAGAAAACCGTGCTCAAAGTTTGCGATCTGCAAAATTCTGTAGCATCTTCCAGAACCTATAAATCAAAATCAAAGTAAGTTACATACTTGATTCTTGTGTCATTAAAAAGAGCATAACTCAACCTTCATTTTGACTATAAATAAGTCTATGTTCTATAGTTCTTGACTGTTTGGTAAACAATTTAAAACATGGTGGTTTTCCATTGATTTTGCCAGGATTTTCTGAGCATGGCCATTTGGCTAGCTTTAGAGTTGGAACCAGCAAAAACTACTGTTTTACGTACAAGTTTTTGAGCTCTGTGG